GAGAGAGAGAGAGATAATTTATCGGCTCGGATAAGGAAAATAGGAGGAAAAGGAGGAGGATGACGGAGGTTATCGAGCCCTGTCTCGATTTCCCGGCTGTTAGAGACGAAACAATGAGCAGAAATAATTCTAATAATAATAATTATAATAATATCGGGGAGGAAGATAAGGAAAATACAACGACACCGTTTCGAGGTAGGAAAATCGAGGAGGATGGAAGAAGTAGATGATGGAGGAATTTTTCTTTTTTCTTTTTTTGATAGAGGATTAAATGAATTATTGAAGGATATTGAGTATGATAATTTGAATTGTTTTGATAGATTGATTGAAATATCATCATCAATTTTTAAAAATCTATCGAAATCGTATTACCTGTGATAAAATTTTTATCACAGGTACACTAATATAATGAAAATAATCTCGCGATAATCTCGTTTAATTGTATTAAGAGGGGTATTTATCTAGCGTTTAAGAGAAAAATGTGCGTCTTTATTACGAGTGTTTTCTTACGAAAGTATCAATCAAGTCTGGCAAAAATTCATTTTTATCCAACTTTGATTTTCTCAAGTTGAAAATTTTTATCACCTTACCACCGTTTTTTTTTACTCCTTAGCTTCTTAATTGTTATAGAGATACGATAATATAGATTTTTCGAGCGCCCGACTATAAATTAAAAATGATTGAAGATACGTAAATTTGAAAGAAATGAAAGAAATATGGCGTATCGCTGAAAGCAATAACAACTTTATCGAGGATTCAACGTATATTGAATGAAAAATAACAAACTGTTTTGGAGCAAAAATTGACTCGCGAAACTGTTTGAAAAATAGTTTGTTCGATGCGAGTATAAATAAAGAGCGAATCTTGTTTAAAAAAAAAAAAAAAGAAAAGAAAGAAAGAAAGAAGAAGAAATGAAAGATGTTATTCTTATCTTTCTCGATTTGATCGCAATTTGTCCCGAAATTTGTCAGGAATTTCTCTGATTCCTCCAATTAATCATCCCGATTTTAACACGATGTTGGAAACGAAAGAATTTGGGAAAAACCTTGGCTTGTAAAAAAATGTTGACAGCGATAACCATTCCATTTTACGGCAATGATATAATGCAATTGTTATTCCCTTTAAACCCAAAGAAAACCAAACTCGAGTTTCTTGAACTCCAAGGTAACCAAGAAAGGGATCGTTCTCTTTTAAAAAAAAACGTTGCCAAAACGTTTAAGAAATTTGATAACAAAATATTTTTACTCTAAACTCGATATAACGCCGTGTATACAATGAGTGAATCGCACAAGAGGCGAGGAAAAATAAAAATAGAATTCTCTACGTGGAGAGAAAATTTATATACCTGTGCAAATATCTCGTTGAACATGCGGTATAAACCACTCGAAGTCTCGACGCGGGTCGAGGGAAGGAAGATGGAGTGAAATAAAAAAGGACAAGAGAAAAGGAGAGAAAAGGAAAAAAGAAGAAAAAAAAAGAAATAATAAAAAGACTTCGAAATACCAACAGCAACAGGTTCCAACAATTCGAAAGATATCAATTACCCGGCTATCTAGGCGGGAATCGTTGAATATTAAACAGTAATGATCAGGCATGCGCGAGTGGAAGGGAGATCAAGTTTACCGTGTCGATAAGGCTCGATCAATGCATTTCCGGTACACCGAAACTGCAGTAGCATTTGAAGATGCTCGTGGCCCGGTTCCAAAGTACCGCTGTTGGTCCTCCTTAGTTCCTGTCGCCTTTTCTCAAGGTCGGGTGCCATTAGGTGTCTCGGTGCCTCGAGGACCAAAGGCCCGTCACCGATCCTCTCTTCACTTCGTTTCGAATATATTTCGAATAGAACTTGAGAACTCGATCGATTCTTTCTTCTTTCGCGCTTTCACTCTTTCGCACTATCTCGCCACGCGAACGACCCTCATCGAACGAACAGGTTGTTCCATGTCACTCTCGAGCTCCGCACGTGTTCAACAATCATCGATCGATCGAGGGAGTCGATTGATTTCTCCGATTTCTCAAGAAAATTCCGGAGTATCGAAAAGAAAGAAAAAAAAGAAAAAAGAAAAATTTTTCTCCGTTTCACAATTTTATCGAAATTCGAATACCGACCGAGTTAAATGGGTCTAATCTATATTTCGACGAAACGGGGAACACTGTTTGATCGGCACATCACAAGTGGACACATCGTTCCCGCGGTGGAAACATGGGACGATGGGACACAGGATCGATACACTGTTCGAAACGCATCGCGCGATCGCAACGAGTGTCAGACACGGACTGGCGTTCCTCGTCTCATCGCCGATCGGCCAACCCGGCATCGTTTGAATAGCGAGTAAATAAGCCCCCACCATACACAGTTCACGCAACACGTTTATACGCTCCTGCATCCCCGACCAGCTTCGGCTATATCGAGGAGGAAGGTGACCAATCAGCAGCCGCTAATTACCCGACTGTCTATCTATCGCATCTCGATCCTCGCCCGACGTTCGCGCGAACCCGATCTTCCCGCGCGACCAATTTTTCACCTATAATTTAACCGGGGCTCGTTTATTTTCGGGGAAAACGATGCTTGACGACGATGGAACATGCCGTTGCAACAAGGTGTGGTACGTTAATTGGACCTTCTCCTGGTTTATATTGCACAGAGAGAAAGAGAGATTAAAAAATCACATTTATCAGAGTATATATATATATATATATATATATATTGTCATTCGTTTGTCGTCGTGTCTAACATTTTTATTTTAACACTACTCGATATGAATCCGGAGGGAAAAAATTTTTTTCTAGTTTCTCCAGTGGAGAAGAAGGAACGACGAATGTTAACGTTTTAATAAAAATATTAAGGTATTATTATAATTGGAAATTATATAATTGTGATATTTCTCCAGAGACAAATATGTTTCTTTCTCGAGTTTAGTGGAGAAGGAAGAGAATTTCTAACGAATTGGTCGAGAGAGAGAGAGAGATATTATTAAATTTGAGTATTTAACGCGTTGAAACAAAGCAACAGGTAGATTCCAAAATGGCCGCGCTCTAATTGGCGAGCCTCGAGAATCATTTTCAAATGGATTTCGCGGCCGAAACGCGGGCGAGGATTTTTATCTCACGCCTGCATTACAGATGTTTACTTAACGAGTAACTGTACGACTGGAGTTAAGTTAGAATTCATTATCGTTCGAATAATTGCGAACGGTATTAATCCTTTATAAGAGGAGGTCGAACAGACCACTTTGTTCTTCCACGGTTCTAAGCGCTGCAAGTAAGCGCTCCAACTTTTTACATCGATTTTGCACACTTTGGTGTTACGCGAGGAGTTAATACATAACGACAAAGATCGTGGAAAAATTAAGGATATCGTATTGCGCACATATATACTCGATGAATTTGATTGAAATTAGGTTTAAAAAAAAAAAAAATAGAAATCATAAATTGCGTGAAAGGATATTTACAAATTAATTTTGATCGATTATTTTTTTGCAGATTTAACGAGAGAGAGAGAGAGAGAGAGAAAGGAAAGAAAATGCGAAGAACTGGATCTATATATGGGTGAATTTAAGTTTGACGAGGCCATAAAATGCCATTTTCATGGGCTCACCCCGATGACTCTATTTTCTCCTTTCTTTTTTATTTTTACAACCCTTCTATTGATCTTTCCTCCGCAAGAATTCTCTTGGTAACGTTTCAAATGACGATCGATCGATGAAATATAAACACTTTGAATGGGTAACCTTAACAGACCTGCTTACTAAAAATTATTATTGAAACTATGCCTGCCCTCGATAAATACGTTTTCCTTACATTCGTTGTTTCGAATATGTTTAAAAGTCGTAATAAAGAAACAGAAGACGATCCGAAGCGGAACGATAATGGTAGGAATTCCATTTTCGATCTCGTGGCAGCCATAAAAGGAAGGCTAATCAAAGGAAAACATCTCGTAGATAACCTCGTAGCAATTAGAACGTTAATGACACTGTGGCTCTCTCGTTACCAGTTGACGTAAGCAAGAACCAAGAAAATCTTGTGGTTCACGACAACCTACCTACACGTCCATTTTCTTTCCAGGACCGTCCTGGAAATTAACGAAATCAGGATCATGAATTGGATTAATAGAACTCTTATCTGTTTGATCGATTGCAAGAAGAAAAAAAAATAATAACTCCACGATTGAAAATAGCAATGTTAAAAAAAAAAAAGGAAAAAATTAAAGGAAAAAAAACGATGATATCATTGGTTACGTAACGTTAACCGGCAAAAAAAAAAAAAGAAAAGAAACCGGATAAAGAGAGGAATATAATCGTTTTGATCGAAGGTATATTCGAGGATACGAAGAGAACGAGTATACGATTCGAATATGTACATTTGTCATTCTCTTTAAAATGAATCTTCAGCGATTTTATTTATCTGTAGCAAATTTGAAAAAAAATTAAAGTGTACCGTCTCCTTATTCGATTAATTAGCATCGAGGATTAACACTTGTGCGACCTCCACAATTATTTACTTCAAACTACTATAATGAATCTCTTCGTGCTCAGATTATTTGAATATTACGTTATGGAAGCGAGTTATGAAGAAAATTGATCGTATATTGATCGAAGTTTACCAGATATTCTTCAATTTTGTGAAAAAAATCCATTAAATAATGGATAAGTTTTGAACGTAATTCGAAAACTGTTCGAAATAAAATATCGTTCGGTTCGAGTCTCGCGAAGGGGTTAATAAGCGACGAGTGGCTTTTGATTTTTACAGGAGGATGCAAGGGGAAGGAAAAGGGGAACGAAATCTGAATAAATCTGGAGCGACAACGAACGTTTAATCGTTGGTAGATTCGCATAATGACAAAGCAATTTGCGATAAAAAGCCTGTAGTCAATTAAGTATCAAAATATCACGCGATAAAGTTGCAAGTTTTTCATCATTGATATACCATGTCAACACGTGAGAATGGATTTAAAGAAAACGTAGATTCCGTGTAGGGGGGAACATTCCGTCGCAGTGAATAAGAATACCGAATTTCGAGCTGACTAACCAGCGTATCAACTTGCTCTCAATGTTATAAACAAAGTTTGCAAGTTGGTCGTTTTGCAAAAAGGAAGGAACGAATCAGGGAGAATCGCGAGAACAGATCCTTCTCGTCGATGACGAAATCCTTCGAATCGTTCGTCCAATTAGAGAAGCAAAATTAGAGGAACCGATTGAAAGTTTGCCAGATTATGCGTATTAGATGAATCGTTCGCAACAAATTTCTTCTCGATCTAACAAGGAAAGGGCAAGAGCCAAAGCGGAGGTCACTGATTTAGTTTGAAACTTTGAACGCTGGCGGATTTCGTCATCTTGTTTATTAAAATAACTTTAATTAGGACCCATTATAGAATTTTTACTCCTCCCAAGCCAAGCGAGCAGTTAGGCTTGGAGAGAGGTAGATTTTCGTTGCAAATTCAGATTTCAGATTTTTTTTTTAAATTTCTGCACGTTTCGAATAACGACACGTAAGTGGTATTGGCGACGAATAGCACACGTTTCAACTAGTTCCGTTATTAACGGATTCCGGATCGAATCTTCGAAATGATGCAACTCGAGGGGAACATATTTTTCTGATTTAGAATCTTTTCTTGTTCAGAACTCTTCGTAATCGCTTCGAAAACTGTTTTTGCAAGCTCCGATTCTAAAAAAAGAAAAAAATACACAAAGATCATCGACGTACAATAATTTTTTTTAAAAATTCTTGTTATAACTTGGCGATACACTCCCAAATCTAAAAAAAAGTATTTTAATTATATTTAAAAAAAAAATATTCGATATTATCGAAAAGAAAGAGAAAAGAGAGAGAGAGAGAGATAAAGCTAAGATTAAAAAAGAAAGAAAGAAAGAAAATAAAATGAAATCGGAGATTGGACGACAGGGCACAACGATCGTTCGTAGAGGCACGATTGTTAAACAACAGTAGTAAACAAATGAGAAACGATTCGAAAGCAATGGCCAGAACTCGTGACCCTCGACATCGAGGTCGCTCTAATCGAGTCAGCACACTCCGCTCGCGCTAACGAGCACGCGTATCTCCTCGCGCTCGTACAATCATTTTTTCTCTCTCTCTCTCTTTTCTTTTTTTTCTTCCAACACCTAGCCAATCGTTACGATTGCTTCTCGAACCGAACTCAGCCGGTTCCTTATCACCACCTTACTCGGCCTAATTCGTATTAAGGCGCTCGACGTAGCTCGCGTTGTACACGGCCACAACCTCTCCCTGCGTACGAGATGGCAATGCTTGCTCCTCGTGGCGATCAAAGTCGAGAGAGCGTGTGTGTGTGTGTACACAACTGTCGAAATAGTTGACTCACCTCACGTGCGCAGAAAAATGTGTCACGAGCGTGAACCGCGATCTAAAAAGAATCACGCGAGAATCGAACGGGCATTTTACGAAACCACCACCTAACGTAACTTTCGAATATACATTCTTGTAGACCTCGCTTGCTTTTTACTTGAATTTTTGCCTAATTTTTTCCGTACGATGTATTCTCCGGAGAGTAGAAAATTTGTGATTTTTTTTTTCTTTTTACGTGAGAAATTCTTTTCAATCAATTTTTCGGATAATTTCGAGATAATTTCGGTACTTCGGATTTCTTTTTCTTTTTTTTTTTTTTTGATTATCAAAAGATTATCGAGTTTGGTTATCGGGACAAAATTTTTATCGCCTTTTAGTTCGCCTCGCTTGGCAATTCCGTCGAGAGCATCGAGAGCTATTGTTTTTTTTTATATACACGCTTATTTTCGGAATAAACACGATCGCTAATTTCAAAGTATGATGGCCGTAGCCAGGGAATTCATTTGCATCGAGCCCGCGGCAATTCGCGTAAACATTGTTTCGATTGGGGGGGGGGAAAAAAAAAAAAAAAAAGAGAGAAAAGAAAAGGAAAGAAAAATCGTAATACGAAAAGCTTCGATTTCTTCGTATCTATCGATCCTCGAGCGTC